AATGCATCTGCTCCCAAAAGAGTATTTTATGGTTTTGTAAACTGAAAACTGTTTAACCAAAGCCAGGTACTAAGGAACAGCATAGGTTTATGATAGGAGGTCACAGAGCAGAGTCAGACATGTCTAACGCTAGGGAAAGAAGATGGAGCTTCTTACTAATGTTACTATTTTCTCTAAAGTAGGAAGACAGCACCACCACCTTTAGAGTCAAGCAAAAGGAGCCTGTCTGTTCTTTAGAGAGACCCACATATCCCACACATACGCAAAGTTAATTTATTAATGGTTACATATATACCTATGACACTCAGGATCCAGCATCCAGAGCTGGTATATTGCAATTTGAACCCTGAACATCTATTCTCGTGACTAATGCTTGTCAGACCCCTGGAAATGGCTTCTTTACAGCTTTTGTCCTCAAGTTTGAAATAGAAGGCAACTTGAGTACAAACGCCAGTGAGGTGTGGCACTGTAGATGTGGGGACAAACACTGCTTCAAGGTGGAAAGTGGCAGAAGAGTTTAGATAAGAGAAAAAGCAGATCAATTAACTTGCTAAATACTTCCTTACAGATAGCAAAAATGCAATTGATTCTTGTGTAATATTGTTTTCCAAGAATACAAATATCCATTTTCTTGCTTCTCTAGCGTACCAATTTGTGATTGGAGAGGTACTAATGAATGCTGTAGAAGAGTTGTACATAGTGCAATATTAAAGAATTCATATTATCTTTATTTCATATATATGTAGCTGTAGATGTAACATAGGAGCCCTGGTGGCACTGTGGTTAAGTGTTACAACTGCTAACCAAAAAGTCAGCAGTTTGAATCCACCAGCCGCTCCTTAGAAACCCTATCGGGCATTTCTACTCTATTCTATAGGTCGCCATGAGTTGGAATTGACTCAGTGGCAATGGGTTTTTTGGTTTAGCTGTAAAATGCATGAAATATCATATTGATTATTTGTACTGGCAACTAGAAGGATGCTGAACCCTGGAATAGCAATTAGTTTTTTTTTTTTTTTCCCAGACATATAATCTCAAAGGCTACCTGAGACTGTTTTCTTTTTTTTTTAAATTCTGCTTTAGACGGTTTACAGAGCAAATGAGTTTCTCATTAAACAATAATCATATTGTTTTGTGACATTGGTTGCCAACCCCATGATGTGTCAACACTCTCCCCTTCTCCACCTTGGGTTCCCCATTACCAGCTTTCCTATCCCCTCCTGCCTTCTAGTCCCTGCCCCTGGGCTGTTGTGCCCATTTAGTCTCATTTCGTTTTATGGGCCTGTCTAATGTTTGGCTGAAGGGTGAACCTCAGGAGTGACTTTAGTACTGAGTTAAAAGTGTGTCCAGGGACCATACTCTCG